TCTGAAGCAGCCTCCAGGCTCTGAACAAGAGGTCAGCACAGAGCCCGACGCGGGGCTTGAACTCACAGACCGCGAGATCATGACCTGAGCCGAAGTCCGATGCTCAACCGACTGAGACACCCAGGCGCCCCTACACTCAGGTTCTAATAAGGAAGAAATAAGAAGTTAACCCCACTGGTACAAAAGAAACCCCAAAGTCTGAGTGGAAACTCAAAGGTGTTCTTATAAATCAAGAAAAAGCATTCCAATAAAGAGCTATCGCAGCAAAATAAAGATGAAAGATCTTCCGTTACCATCAACAACAGTGTGAAAAGATATTCACAGCACCCAGGTATAATACAGACAGTCGAGGGGCGCCTGGGTGGCTCGGTCGGTTGAGCATCTGACTATGGCCCAGGTCATGATATCAGTTTGTGGGTTCGAGTCCTGCATCCAGCTCTGTGCTGACAGCTCAGTGTGGAACCTGCTTCGAGTTCTGTATCTCCCTTCTCTTTGCCCCTCCCCTCGTGCATGCTCTCTCTCAAAAATAAGCAAACATTAAAAAAATATATAGTGCAACGAAGACGCTGTCATCATCCCCAACTATCTTCTAAAGGAGAAAAATTTTCCTTTACTTCTACTCATTTTCTGGTCTCTGTATGACTAACTTGACTTTTTTCTGCAAGAGGTTCCTTCTTCTCTCCCTTCCTACCCAGTCAAAGAAGTGTGAGGAGCGTTACGAGCAGAGTTGGCAGAAAGTATGAACTGGCAGTACACTCTCATCAGAGTTGGAGTCCGGGAACTGAATCCCTGACCAGACAAACCATGATGATGCATGTACCATCGGCCCCTGGTCTCAGTGTCCCCTCCTTCTCACGAGCCTGGAACCCACTCCCCAACAATTAGCCACATCCTTCTAGCAACACATGTAGTAGCACTCAGCATCAGGAACGCGGTCAACACTGGGATCAAGCTCAGAAGAAAGGTTCCTGACCAGAACGTGAGGTCTAACTTTCCACTTCCTGTCTGACGTGCTTCTCCAAAGGCAGTCTACCTTGTTATCAACAAATCTGCCGGCGTGGCTATCCCAGGTCCTTTCACTACAGGACAGCTGTGCCCTACTGAAAGTGCAAGTGAGAGGGCAATTACAGAGACGCACGGACTGAAAACTGTAGCCACGGGCTCTATCAAGCCAAGATCTTCAGCTCCAACAAGAGAGAAGACTGAGCAGTGAACGTCCTCACTCTCAGCTCATCTGCCAAACTCTGGCTTGCTGCCAGTGTGACTTTCCCTCTTCCTTAAAGGACACTGGACTGACTGTATCATGCATGTCTTCAGATTGGAGGCCACCAGCCTTTCGAAAATAGGATACATGGTTTCATTTCCTGTCATTTTACCTGTGCTACAGAATATGGCAATGGACGAGTTAAAAATGGAAAGGAAGGAAATATAGTGGCAGCAATCTGCCCTCATAATCATGGAAACTTTTAATACAAAGGTCTCAGAGTGCCGATCCCTGCTTTCCATCACCTATAAATCCTGGACTGCATCTAATTTTATACAATCTGATGTCAAAAACAACATGTCAAGTAGAAAATTTTAAGTGTGTTTGTTGAAATGCAATGTGGTATCCTGGACACTAGAGGAAAAGCTGGTGAAACAGGAACAGAATTTGCAGTTTAGTTAACTACTGTTTTAACCAGTGTTAACGTGGTTAGTTTAGGCGTTAACATCAGGAGAAGCAGGGTGAGGGGCGTATGGGAAATCTCTGTATGTATGACATTTGCAAGTTCTCTTTAAATCTAAAATGATGACAAACCAGAAAGCTTATTTTTTAAAATATTTGTAATATGATCTTAATCTGCAACAAACATGTATTTGTATCCATAAGTTAACATTTATTGAGTACTTACTATATGCCAGTTATTATACATTTACCTGTATCATCCTGTTTGATCTCTATGATTATTCAAGTAAGTTCTATTATCATGATCCCTACTGTAGAAAGACAGAGACTGAGACACAGGTCAAGTAACTCACCCAAGATCATATTTAAGTGGCCTAACCAGAGTGGGAATCCAGGCTGACTCCGTGGGCTACACTCTTAAACATTGAGCTACTCGGTATATTCATCCTTCCCTTATACACTCATGCATGTACCTGTATGTGTACGTGTGTATGTGTTACACAAAAACACTGACACCTCTGACTTATATGTGGATCTCATCTGTGTTTATCTTGGATGATAGAATTAGAGTCACTTTTTATTTTCTTTTGTGCCTTTGTGCAGATTTCACAATTTCTATAATGAATCCGTATTTCATTTTCATTGTTTTTTTAAAAGACAAATGTACCTATTTTATTCAGGCTTACCAAAGGAAATGGGACTAAGTTCTACTGTCTCAGGAGACTGTTTTGCTTTATGGATGAAGGATGAATTTACATATAATTTTTTAAAAAAAGAAATTCAGGGGCACCTGGGTGGCTCAGTCAGTTGAGTGTCTGACTCCGGCTCAGGTCATGATCTCACGGTCCGTGAGTTCGAGCCCCGCATCGGGCTCTGCGCTGACAGCTCAGAGCCTGGAGCCTGCTTTGGATTCTGTGTCTCCCTCTCTCTCTGCCCCTCCCCCACTCATGCTCTGTCTCTCTCTCTCTGTCAAAAAAAAATAATAAACTTTAAAAAAAAAAAAGAAAGAAAGAAATTCAGCCTCTGAGACGGGGCGGGCTCTCACAAGCATCTAAGTTCCAAGGGTGAACTGTTCTTAACCTGTACAATCATGAAACGATGACCAGACCGGCCACGTTAAGGAAGTCAACAGCTTGCATTTGCCGAGAATCATACCCATAGAGCTGTATTCCTTGAGTTTCTCCAGAACCGCCGACGAGCTCAGACCTTGAACGGGCAGGGCTTTCACGTATTCTTTGTCCACTTTCAGGAACGACATATTCTTGCTAATATCATCCTTGGTCTTGTTCAAGTTATCTTGGATCTCCAAAGGTAAGAGAGAAAGTTAACACGGAGATGGAAGCATACAGTGTGGTGAGCAGAGACCAAGTCAGCCGCTCAAGGCCGGGCATGACATGAGCGTGCAAAACGGGGACGACGGCATCTTGTTCTTAACAAGATGTGGTGACACTCTGACTACCTGCTGTTTTCTGGAATGTCTCTTAGAAGACTAAACGTCATCTTTCTCTCTGAAAGTCAAAGATGCATCCAATTCCCCACACCTTTCCTCTGCCGTGCTCACCTCACCACTGCTTTACGTGGTGAGCGCGTAAACGTGAACGCTTCGCGTTTGCCAGGGTCAGCACCTCTCTGAGAGCAGTACTTGGACCTTATTCCTGTCCTGGCAACAGCTACAATGTGTGTGCCAAAGAAACAGAGGTAGAGTCACAAACAGCCACCAGAAAATAAGCCAAGCGGTAAGAGGGATCCTAGTACTCGAGGGGGTGATGAGCTCCTTGAACAGACAGACACACGCGGGGCACACCCAGAACCCGGGGGCCCTCCACAGCTTCTCACGTGCGTGCACAAGACATCCCTGGTAGAATGCCAGGGGGACTGCGCTCTACCTCCTCAGGTTGTCCACAGCCTGTCCTGTTTGGCCCTCAAGGGCTAGGAGGGGCTGGGGTCCTTTCTGCTACAGTTCATCAACTATGGCTATTTTCTCTTCATCCTCACCGCAACAGCCTGTGAACTACTTTGTTGAACTACTACTATGGGCCAGGGATACGCAGTGGACAAAATAAGGGAGGCAGTACAAGTGAAAATAACTCCTGTTCTCATGAGGCTTATCTGTAGCAGCAGAGACCGAAAATGAAGGTCAGGTAGTGAAAAGTGCTGGGGGAGTGCTGAGGGGTGGGGAGGAGAAATAGGGTTTAAAAAAACAAAACAGAGCAGGGGCCGCTATCTGTGCTAAGAGACTGTCGGGTGCTAGATCTGGAAAAAGAGCTACATGTCACAATTTGTGTGTGTGACAGCGAGAAGGTTTCAGCAACACACTGGTGAAAGTGTCAGGCCCACGATCTGACTGCAAACATTTAGATTTTCCCATCTGTAGCCTCGGATGATTCCAACACAAGAGCACCTCCTTAGACGTGGCCCCCAGTGAAACCACAGGGAAAGCCGCACCTCTGAAACACGACTGCGACCGCCTCGCAAGCAAGCGCCGGCAGACAGCAGAGGCCACGCTCTCGGGCACGTGATGGACGCAAGGCGTGTGATGGAAGCGAAAATATTTTTAAAGATGTACATGAAGAATTATGCCGCATAAATGGAGAGCGTGCAACAGGAGCAAACTATGAAAGCTGGGCGTTGGGGGCGCTTGGGCGGCTCAGTCGGTTCCGTGTCTGACTCTTGATTTCAGCTCAGGTCATGATCTCACAGCTCGTGAGTTCGAGCCCTGAGTCGGGCTCTTGTGCTGACAGCATGGAGCCTGCCTGAGATTCTGTCTCCCTCTCTCTCTGCCGCTCCCCCACTTGTGTTTTCTCTCTCTAAATAAATAAATAAACATTAAAAAAAAAAAGCTGAGTTTCCACGCACAGACTATGCTGTTGTAATAAGAGAGACAAAAAATGATAATGAGTTATATTAGAAAGCACCCCCCCCAATTACTGCCTCAGAACCTCTATTACATTTTAATTTCTTCACAACATTTATTTCAAAATGAAATTCTTGGGGTGCCTAGCTGGCTCAGTTGGTTAAGCATCTGACTCTTGGTTTCGGCTCAGGTCGTAATGTCGAGGTTTCGTGAGCTCGAGTCCTGTGTTGGGCTCTGTGCTGACAGCATCGAGCCTGCCTGGGATCCTCTGTCTGTCTGTCTCTCTCTCTCTGCGCCTCCCCCACTTGCACTGTCTCTTTCAAAATAAATAAACTTTTTAAAAAAATGAAATTCTTATGTGTTTACCTATTTTCTGATTTTCCTACAAAAATATAAGCTCCACAGAGCAAGGACTTGGTCTTGTTCCCCTCTATATCCCCAGCATCCAGAGTAGTATCTGACAGAGCATGCGCTCACTAATTGTATGTGTTCAGTAAGTGAATTTACGGGAATGAATGACACAAGGATACACACGTCACTCAAAACAAAGAACTTTTGCCTCTGAGCCGCAAAATCTGGTTCTAAAAAACGAAAGGTGATTATATGGGTTTTAAGTGCCTTCCAATTGTTATTTTATGAATTTAATAATAGTGTCTGGAATTTATTTGTCTCAAAATCTGAAACTGAAGGAGAAATGTGTGAAGAAAAAGAGCACAAAAATCCAGGGAGTGAGAAGGGAAAATGCTAGTATCCTTCGAGATCCAGGCCACCCTCCCCCTATCCCTTAACTCTAGCAAGACTCAAGGAGATTTCCTTTTAGGGCTTACGGCGATTTGGAGTCAAATAAAAGCCTATCCACTCCCATTCCCCTTTTCTACCTCCAATAACTACTTCTACTTCCCCTATAGGAAATGCACCTGAAAATAAATACACAGTTATGGGAGAGTTAGCACAGGGGTCTGAATGAATTTTGGTCAAACGTTAAAGATGCCTGACATCTTTTCTGGTTTGGTCAGGAGAGGGGAAAAGGGAAAGGGCACTGAGAGCCAAAAGTGAAAGGAAGCTTGAAGGAAAGCTGAGGGGCAGGCAGGACCCTGGGAGAGATGACGACATTAGGGACTCATGTGCCTTCTTCCGAGCATGCCCAGGGCCTGCACTGTTATCTTCTTCTGTGATAAGGAGCCTGAGGGAAGGGTACAGAGGTGACAGTCTTTATCCTCAGCGTGGGTGAGGGGAGAGAGGACACAGTGAAGGGAACATACTATATCGCAGACAGGTACAAAGAGCAAGAGAACAGTGCTAAGTTTCTAACCCTGTCAGCAAATTACAGCCCAAATCTGACCCCGGCCTGTTTCGTCAAGATAGTTTCACTGGAACACAGCCAAGCTCATCCCTTTACCCATCACCCTGTGCTGCTTTCCCGCTGCAGGGGCGGACTTGAAGAGTTCGGAAAGACACGGGATGGCCTGCGAAGTCTAGACCTCTCCTATCTATCTAGTCCTTTACGGAGAAAGTTTGCCAACCCTGGTCTAAACCAAGTAAGCACCCAACCCCAGATACATACCTAAAGTCAGCACGGCCAGATATTGCTCTAAAGCCACTTCTGCCAGGTTTTCTAATTTCAAGGTCTTCCTTAACAGACATGGCCTTTCTCCTTTGGTCAAATATGCTCGAGAAAGGGTTAAGTCGGATTTCTGAACCTTGGCACTTCTGACATTTGGAGCAGATAATTTTCTGTGGGGGACTGTAGGATATTTAGCAGCACCCCCGGCCACTATCCACTACATGCCAATAGCACTCCCCTCCAGCTGTGATAACCAGAAAGGTCTTCAAAACATTGTCAGATGTTCCCTGGAGGTGGGGAACGAAATCACCCTCACCCTTGGGAATTCACACTAGGTTCGGTAAATAGAAGAAACAGGAAGTGATTACGGGGGTGGCGGTAGGGGAGAAGATCTGTACAGATTCCACTTACCTTGCGACCAATAATAGGCATCTTCCTGATGAGCTTAAAACATCTCTTTTTAAACCTTGACCATAAACCTAAAAGATACAATTGGCTCCGTTACCCACCTAAGTTTGCATGGATACGACCCACTAGCCATAATATATGAACTGTTCCGCGTGCCTCCTGCGATCTCACCTGCCTTCCGATTGTAAACGTAGTTTCTTTCCTTTGTAAAAAAAAAAAAAGCTCTGACATTTAAATTTTCAAATAAGCAATGCATTTACATGGTTCAAAAAGTTATTTAAATTAACACACACACACAGAGTTAAAAGTTTCCCTCTTATCGGTTCCCTAGACTTTCATCCTACCCTCAGGGAAACACTATTACTATTCATTTCTACAATACCTACCTAGAGTTTTTTTTTCCTTTTTTTCTTTCTTTATGCTTCTACAAGCAATAATAAAAATAAAATCTTATTTGCCTCACCTTTTAAACAGAAGGTAGCACACTCTAGTAACTGTATTAGACCTTGTTTTTCTACTTAGGAATATTCTCTTAAAGCTCAGAGCTTCCTCACTCATTTTTGTAGCTCTAAAATATTCCACCATATGCATGCATCATAACTGATTCAACCTGCTCCTTCATAGTGGACAGTTAGGTTATTTCTGGTGTTTCCTATTACCAACAACAGTGAAACAAGAACTTTGCAACAGGTACTGCACACGTCAGCGCGTGCCTAGAGCATAAATTCCCAGAAGCAGAATGGTGGGTCGAATAACATCATTTCAGAGCTGGTGACCTTCCCGAGGTTTTCAGATGCCCAAAAGCTCTCTTCCCTTCCCCAAAACAAATGACCAAGCCACGCTTTTTCTTCAGGATCTATGCTCCAGTCTCTCATTCAACATACACCCTGACAGCATTTCAACATCTTTTGGACCTAAAAAGGGCTTCAGTATCACGGACACCAATCGGACTCCCTGTCAGGCAGAGTACAGGACAAATAGGGAATTCTGATAATAACTGTAAGTGCATGGCATCTAAACAGACCATCATAACTTTTAATGAATTCAGATTCAATACAGAAAGCATTACCTACCATCCAAAGGCAACTAAGGATCAAGCATTAATAACTTGCTCAAGGCCACAGATCACATCAGTGATGGAGCACGGACTTCAACTGAAGCAAGGGGCACGTGGGTGGCTTAGTCGATTAAGTGTCCAACTTTGGCTCAGGTCATGATCTCACGTTTCGTGAGTTCGAGCCCCACATCGGGCTCTGTGCTGACAGCTCAGAGCCTGGAGCCTGCTTCAGATTCTGGGTCTCCCTCTCTCTCTGCCCATCCCCTGCTCACACTCTGCCTCTGTCTCTCTCTCTCTCTCAAAAATAAACATTAAAAAATAAATAAATACACTGAAGCCTCAATTTTCCTAGCCCTAGACACCCAGGACTCTATGCACAGCAGGAATTCTCAGTTATCCCAAATGAGTCTATAAGGAACCTAGACCTAGCTTCTGTGCAGGCAGGAAATGAATATGAACTTCTCCTACATTTCTAGATGTGGGCATTCCAACTTCCCCAGCCAGTGGAACTCTCTCCGACAAGCATAGACTACATCTGTGCCTTCTGTTAGCACTGATGACAGGACACCTTGCATCTTTACTAGTTGTTTTGCTTGGGTTGCAGGCCTGTCTTTCCACCTTGCCCTCTGTGGCCCAGCACTGGAGCCAATACTCTGTCAATGCCTGGAGCAAAGCAGGTAACTGAGTCTGAGACTGAATAAGAAGACAAAGGGATTGAAATCACTTGTTTGTAGTTGCTATTTTGTTTACACTTTGGAAGACAGTAAAACCTTGGATTGCAAGTAACTTGTTCCGCGAGTGTTCCACAAGACGAGCAAACATTTCTAATCAATTTTAACTTGATAAACAAGCGATGTCTTGCAATACGAGCAGTACATGACGCCCAATGTCACATGATCACAACTGAACCAATGGTTCTTTCCTCTCTCTTTCTCTCTCTGCAGGATTGTGGGTAATCATCTCCCATGCTCGGATGCACGGTCTCAGGCCGCAGTGTTTGGCAGAAATCGGTGATTTTTCAGACCATTCAAAGGTGCCCACAACTGGCACTAGTGTATTTTTTGTCATTTCAAAGCACCTATGGACGGCCCTTTGCTTTTCCCTCCAAGAGTGAGCTGAGGAATGCTCTGCTTTATTCTAGGTCATTGGATAGGTTCCTTGTTAAAATTGCACAAAAAGAAAGATTCCATTGAGTCAACAGATAGCAGTGATTCTGTTAGTGATAGTGAAAGCTGTCCTACACAATAACCCTCCTCTCTCTTGTCTCCCGCACACCAGTCACGAAGGTTTTCTAACGTGCAGGCTGCTTATTTTTCTATTTTGTATTATATTACAGTACTATACTCATTTTTATATGAATATTTTTGGATTGTGGAACGAATCATCTGAGCTTCCATTATTTCTTATGGGGAAATTCACTTCGATATACAAGTGCTTTGGATTACAAGCATGCTTCTGGAACAAATTATGCTCGCACACCAAGGTTTTACTGTACTTCCTTCCACTCTTAAGTTCTACACACTGAAGTACACAGCTGTGATCCTAGAGCACGTACAACGCCGTGCCCTCTTCTCGATTACAGAATTTTCTACGTGAAGAATGCTTCCTAAACATAGTTTTAAATACTACCATAACAGTCCATCAAATGCATGTAATTTAGCGTTGGACGTTTAAGCTGCTTGTTATTTGATATTTCTAACTGTATTAAAGCTGTAAAAATTCAGAACAATTCCCTTATTTAACAGATGAAATAAATAACTAATGGGACAGAAAGAGGTCTAAAACTCAGCAAAAAGGAGTCCCTTGAGAAGTACAGTAATGTGGCTGGGTCGGGGAGGACAGACTCAACTCTGCGTGCGATTTAACAGTACAGGTAGGAAGAACAGAAATGTAAGATCGGAGATGCAGAAATTAGAAATGAAAAGATCATGTGGCCATGACCCGAAAAGATAATCTCAAAAGTAAAAGTCCCCAGAGGTACATAAAGAAAAGTAATTATAGTGTTTTAAGGTAATAAAATAGTAAGTGCCAATGCAAGGACAACAACGTATAGCTCCTTGCAGCTTACAGATTCCTTTCAAATTATGCCTCTCGATACTCATATTACCCTATGACTAAGTAAGGCGGGTAGTACTTCTGCCCATTTTACTGCGAGGAAACAGGCTGAGAGAGCTTATGGGTGTTAGTTAAGGTGCCAAGGCTAGAAACTGGGAGTGTTATGACCTCCTCCCACCACATAACTCTGATTCCTATTCATGAACTATGGACAACCCCACAGTTAAATCAACATCAAGTTATAGCGATATGAGCTGATAATCACAGAGCAGAATTAGGGAAGAGATAACACCGTAGAGGGCTGCTGACCCCTGGCCACACTCCCACCCCCATCTTCCTACAGCCTCTTGTTCTTATCTGTAGCAGCATCCATCCTGTGTTGCAGAATTATCCTCTCCTCTCAGAAGTGTATTCAGAGTTTGAAGATCAGCAGAATTTATCACTAGTCCAGACTTTAGACTCCTCTGGGGCAATATGCTAAAAATAACTCGACTGTTCAGTGGTAAGCACAATTCCCCTATGTGAGCAAGGTACTGAAAACACGGCAATTTTATCAAGACTATCTCCAACCTCTAGAGAGAAGACATTTTGATCTGTGTCTAAAATTCAAGTTAGAAGTTACAAAATAAAAAGTGTTGTGTATGAAACTATGTGAAATTGTTGACATTCAAAACTTTTGACCTACAAAAGATATTTTGTACGGTTCAACTGGATTTAAATGTAGAAAAAGACATATGTAAATAGTGGTTAGCTCTAGGTAGCAAGATTTTCATTTTGTCCTTATGGCTTATCGGTATTGCCTACTTTTCTGCAGTGGACATGTACTACTTTCGTAATAAGAAAAACATGTTATTAAAAACGACTTATGGGGTGCCTGAGTGGCTCAGTCGGGTAAGTGTCTGACTTCAGCTCAGGTCACGATCTCATGGTCCGTGAGTTCGAGCCCCACGTCGGGCTCTGTGCTGACAGCTCAGAGCCTGGAGCCTGCTTCCATTGTGTCTCCCTCTCTCTCTGCCCCTCCCCCACTCATGCTCGCTCCCTCTCTCTCTCTCTGTCAAAAATAAACATTAAAAAAAATTCAAATAAATAAATAAACATTAAAAAATATATAAATAAAGTTAAAAAAAATGACTTAAGGGGTACCTGGGTATCTTGGTCAGTGGAGCATGTGACTCTTGATCTCAGGGTCGTGAGTTCAAGCCCCACATTGGGCATGGAGCCTACTTAAATTTTTTTAAAAATAAATAATGTGGAGTTGGGCTTACAAAGATTTACATGGCACATACCACAAACACGCCGCAACTAGTAGTTTTCTCACAGAGTGCACAGAAGCCAGCATATTCTGTTTGCGACATTAAAGGCAGGTAAGTACCAGGACCTAAGACGGCCATGCTTCTACCACCAGGTAAGCAAAATGCAAGCAGGCACCGTGGCCAGCAGAAGTAAAGCCGGGAGTCAATGCCTGAAGCTCATCCTCATCAGAGCAAAGAAATATAAATCTCAAAGAAATATAAATCTCAAGACTTCTAACCTTATGTTGCTTTATACAAATGCACCACCTTAAAAGGAGAAGTACTTAGAGTGGCGGCTGGCACGAGCTGGGGGGAAATATGCTAATGGGGGCTTATCATTTAATGGGGCCAGGGTTTCAGTTCAGGGTACTGAGAAAGTTTTGGAGACGGATGGTAGGAGCGGTTGCGCCACAAACTGACTGTACTTGAAAATGCACAGAATAGTAAATTTTACGTTACATACATTTTAATCACAATAAAAAAGAAAGAAAGGGAAGTATATTTATTGCTACTCCTTAGAGTCCTCTGCAACAGACTGCTTCACCTGGAAGGACAAGATGGTGGGCACCACTGAACAGAATGCTTCCCTGGACAGGCTAAGCCTGAGCAGAAAGACACAGGGCCTTGTGTCTCTGTGTGTCCCCTTCCAAACCATGGAGCAGATGTGGCAGAAGGGTTAGCCAGTCCCATACATCAGAGTTTAAGGGAAAATCTTACAAGGACCAGGAGCCGAACCTGAGGGCAGGGTTTTTAAAGCTGGAGTGAACTACGATTGAGACAGGGCATCAACTCTCGTTTTCCACTTTAAGTGCAATGTTTACTACGCCATAACCCTTCACTGTTACTAGAACAGCTCAGTGGCTCTCTGCAGGGTAAGCGGGTAAAACAGAATGTGGCTTCTACGTTAACTCTCCTGGGGAAAGAAGAGGAAAGCAGAAACAGTACAGTGAAGGAGCCCCTTGAAACAGATGTTATCAGGGAAGCAAAGGGTCCTGGAAATTTTAAACAAGTGAGAAATGACAAGCAGTCCTCTTCAACGTTACTGGGTTTTTTAATCCCATTAATTCAGGCACCCGCTGCTACGGGTGGGGACGGGGTGCAGAGGAGTGTTACAGAAACACCCACCACTCCTACTTCACTCACCAAGCACAACCTGCAGGAGGAAACAATCCACAAGGAGGGAACGCGCAACCAGGTTTGGCAGGGGAGGAAGGGTGGGTGCGACCCTAGGAAGGATGGCGGATCTGCAAACACATCACTTCTCACCTTTCCTGCACTCCCAGAGAAGGGACCTCCTCTTCACTATGTCCCTTAGGCTCCCTGAGTCACTACCCAGGAAGCTCAAAGTGTGCTGTCTGTCCCCTGACATCAGAAGTTCAACTCCAAGAGGACAGGGACCCTGTATAACCTGCGTCGCTATCCCCGGACTCTAGCACGGTGCCTGGCACACAGCAGACATTCAAATGGTCACTGCAACAGTGCTGTCCCAATTTCACACAATCTGTAGTGAAAGGATGGCCTAAAATGAAAGTAATAAATTCCTGCTTGGGGAACTCTGTGCAATACAATTATGTTCCAGGCAAGAAACTAAACATGAGAAAGGCTTAAGCCATACTTTGAGATACCTGTGGATCCTTACAACAACTAATTTCTCAGGACTTTTTATGTAAGCTGCAGATCCAGAAAAATCAACAAAAGTAGTAATAGTTACATTCGAGTAGCTATTATAACTTTATGTAGACAACCTTATTATAATTTTACAGTCAGAAGACAATGCCCCACTTCCTATCTAAACAGATTTTAAAAATCAGAACCAAACCAAAGGCAAGAAATTAGTCCAATCCATCAGCCATGAGTTCTAAAGCTGGTGAAACTCCACTCTACCTTTCCAGACGGGAGGGGGCGGTATACTTACTCTCTGGCTGGAAGACGAAGCCATATACCCAGACTATCAGCAGGGTGCTCACGACACTGCAGGCAATCAGCTGCCAGGGCTCATACTTAGTACAATGTCCATTTACATAATTCTTGGCCTTTGTGGAATATACTTCCAAGATCTCAAGGTAGGGCTCAAAAGCCTTCTAGAAATACAAGGGGAAAAAAAGGAACATTACATTCAGAGAGAGAAGGGACTTCTGTTCTGCGGCCCTCCTTTTTCAAGGGCAAAGCCATTCGTGACCTGGCCCCACCCCGGCAATACTCTTATCATGCTCTACAGTCCTCAAAGCTCTGCTTCCGAGTCAGGTGGACTTTGACAAGGGTTTTGATCTTCTGCCTTGTCTATAAAATAAATGGTTCAGCTGCATCATTTCAGCTCTAAAGCTTCACTACGACTGCAGTGCTCATTGCCCCACTCTCTTGACTCAAACAAATCCGCTGGATATGAAGGGCTCTCTCTTCCTCTCTACTTTATTGGAATCTCTCCCATCTGCTAACGCAGGGGGTGGGCAGACCGTTCTGTAAAAGGCCAGAGAGGAAACAGTTCGGGCGTCACAGGTCAGCCAGTATCTGTTACAACTACTCCATTCGGCCGTTGGTAGCACACACACCACCACGGAGGGCGGGAAATGAGTGACCACGGCTGTTCCAGCAAGAGTTCGTTACAGATGCTAAAACTGGAATTGCATATCCTTTCACAGATCACAAAATATTCTTTTTGTAAAAACAATTTTAAAAATATACAATGTCATTCTTAGCTCACGGACTGTACCAAAACAGGCGGCAGGCCCAATTTGGCCCACAGGCCACAGTCTGCCAATCTCTGCTCTCAAGCCCAACTTGATTGCAAAAGTCTCTTTTCATAACTTCTTAAAAAAATTTTTTAAAGGTTTAGTTACTTCGAGAAAGAGATAGAGAAGGGGGGGGGGTGGGGAGGGAGAATCTCAAGCAGGCTCTATGCTATCAGCATGGAGCCCAACGTGGGACTCCATCCGACAAACCATGAGATCATGACCTGAGCTGAAATTAAGAGTCAGACATTTAACTGACAGAGCCACCCAGGTGCCCCTTGACTACGAAACTCTTAAATTCTTATCATTATGTGTATCCCTCACAATATCTGGCACAAGCAAGAATAAAGTCCTCTCATCTGGACTCCTGAAAATTTCATGACCCGCTCATGAAAATTCATCTCTCCCATTAAATTCTCCTCAGGTAGTCACTTGCGACTCCACACAGAGCTTATCACAATGTGCCCTGCTGTCAGTCTACTCATCTGTTTTTTATCTCCCTGACTACGTGGTTGGGTCCTTGAAGGCTGATCAGATCTTAATCATATTTATAAGCCCCCACAGTGCCCTGTACAAAACAAGTTCATCTAATAGTTTGTTATTCATTCACTTATTCAACATTTGCAAAGGATCATCAGTATTTAAGGCATTAAGCTGGAGAAGCATTATGGTAACCATCACAAGGTCTTGCCCTCACTAAGCTTACAATCTAATGGGAAAGAGGTGTGTGTGCGTGTGTGTGTGTGTGCATATATATGTACACACATGCAAACATACACAGGCTGACAAATGTTCATTCAAATCATTCAAACTCATTAGGATCAATACTACAGAAAGGATGTAAGTAAAGTGCTAAGAGAGACCACTAAGGAAGGCCTATCGAACTCACCTAAGAGGAGGTGGGGAAAATGTGGTTCAAAGGGTTTAAAAGATCTATCAAAGAAAATTCTCTTGGCAAAAAAGTTAAAAGGAAAAAACAAAAGAAGTCATACCAGGAAGAGAGAGCGACAGCTGCAAAAGCATTAAAAAAAAGTCTAGGGATGGCAAAAAACATTCAGCATGGTCTAAGAGCAGAGATGAGGACAGGGACCCATCTGTCTCAGCACGTCTAGGTCCGCAACACAGAGCAGAGTGCCGAGCACACAGGCCACACCACACAGCACTTGGATAGTGGCTGACCGGGACCAAGTGCATGAGTGAACATGTCAGTTGGAGAACAGAGACTGGGAGAAGTACACTAGGTCCAGATTAGAAAGATTAGAAATGGCCTTAAAAACAAAAGACAAACAAACAAAAAAAACCATGTACAGTGGGAATATAAATTGACAGGCAATTTTTGTAAAGTGATTTGTCACTGCCTATTAACGTTTTAAACATACTTACTTTGACCCAGATACTCCCCTTTTTGATATCTACATATCAAAGAGACAGGTTCAAGGACATTCACTTCAGTATTCTTTATAACAATGAAATTTAATATCCCAAATGTCCATTCATGGAGGAATGTTTAAATAATCTATAATACACACACTTTATGTATTCATACTACGCAGTATTTAAAAAAAAGATCTGAATAAACCACATTAACAATTTTCCAGAACATAATGCTGAGTGTAAAAAAAGGCAAATTGCAGAACAGCAGCAAACAAAAGGCATGGGTTGTTAATCAGGAGAGCAATTTTTTTTTTTTTTTTAAACAACCTGATGGGAGACGAGGAGAAGGAAGCCAGAGGTCAGAGACACAAATTTCCGTTAAGAGGAGCTGAAGCAGTCTAGGGGAGAAATAAACTGGGTTTGCAGTCATGACATTGGGGCTAAAAAGCAGCACAGATTTAAAAATGCTTTTTGGAGGTAGTACAAACAGGGTTTTCTAATTTCACAGATACAGGAAGTAAGTAGGGCATATAGAAGTAAGGAGTGGGAAGAATATAGGTAATTCCAATTTTTCAAGTTCATGTTTGAGAGACTGGGCAAGTGGTGTCACCATTAAACCATGGTAGACTAGAAGAGAAAGGGAAGCTGAAGTAGGTAAAGGAGATTTTGAGATAAAGATAATGATACTAGTTTGAGTTATGCGCCTGTTAGAGATCTACATGCAATGTTCTAGTAGGAGTGTGAAAGCTTAGGAGGAGGACAGGTGCTCGACAAATGTTTACTGAAAACACTTCTATCCTTGGCAATTAGATTCCGGTATAAGGTCATTAACATCAGGCAAGTGCTGGCTTCCCTAGAGGGCTATCCATGGAAACACAGCTTATCTGCAACTCCTTCATAGCTCCTGGCCATTCCCCAGAGCCCGCCGGTTGCTATCAACAACCTCAATCCTGCACAGCAGTGACCGTGCTGGTCAGGACCTGAGGAGGACCGGAGGACTCTACCATCATCAAAGATGTATCGTGATTTCCATCATCATAAAGAATCTTCTGCTGTTAAGGCTATGATCTAACCAGATGGCTAAATAGTTATATGGGACACCTGACTGGCTTATGCGGAAGTGCCTGCAACTGTTTTAGGGTCAGGAGTTCAAGCCCCACATTGGGCATGGGTCCTACTCAAAAAATAATAAATAAATAGAGTGACAGACAGATAGTGTGTATGAATGGGATGATGGAAGAAATAATCATGCAGATCAGCTTTTCCTCTGGTGGTACTAGTTCCTAATTAACCCAGAAAATCGAGGTTACCCATGTCAAAAGATGCCCGTAGATATTCTCAACTTTTCTTAGCACTGAACAAAGAGTAATATAATTAGCATTAGGGAGAGAGCAAAGAATCAGCAAATGCAAACTATGTCAATTTTTAAAAAGCCTATTAAGATATGAAGGCATTCCTCGCTAATAGTTATAAAATTACTTTCAGCAAGAATATATGTTCTTGCCAACTGCTATAAGAAGATAATGGGAGTCCTTAGATTCCAAGTCCTTAACCACATCTCCTTAAGGAGAGATATATTTCTATATTCTCCTACTCCAAAGACAGAATGATACTGTATTTGGATAGGTCCTAGTGAGCTTTTTGAGTAGGCAACTAGTTGGTCACGGAAATTACATCTCCTGGCCTCGGTCCCAGGTCCTTCTAGGTTACTACAAACAACCGAGGCTCAGTCCCCAACGAATAAGCACCTCACAGCACTAATGGCTCACTGCTTTATAGGGCTCTGTGGGCTAAGGTGTGCTAACTCCTTGGAAAAAAGGATGAGGCAGTCCCTTGGGGCCTTGCAAACAGCACAAACCCCAGGCTGGATCCTGATGCAATACTCCAGCCCTAGGGAAGAATACAATCTAAATGCTGAAGGGAACTTTAGAGATAAAGCCTACAATTGCACTTTATAAAACAGAAGCCCCCAAGTGAAACAGCATGCCCAGGCCCATCCAGACAGGCTTGTCAGAACCCAAGCCTCCTGACTCAGTGTTCAGTATTCCTTCAATTCCTCATTCTAAGTGTTCACGGACAGAGGATCTCTTAACACATTACCCTCCAGTGCTATCCCTAGGGTTTCCTTCTCCTAATTTATGTTCTTGGCAGAATCTACCTTGGATGTACTGCACAGATCATAACAAACTAAAATTGTATGCATGGGTCATGACTACAGGTAAACAGGTCTACATAGAAACAGCACAGAAACTTAATATAGTTATAATTACTATTTCCCACCGTGTCTTTTTGCTTACAGAAGTACATTTTTTGTCTATATACACCTGCATATATATTAATGATTACAATACTCAAGCTTTTGTTTATGTCAACTTAACCTACATACTGTCTCTGGAAACACAAGAACTCTGAATGGTCATCCACAACGGCCACTAGCTTGCTGTGCAACGCCAGGCAAATTATTTCACCAAGCTGTGCCTCTACCCTTTATCTAGAAAAAGGGACACAGAATAACAGTCACAGAATAAATAAATTGTGTTTGTGTCTATGCGTATCTGTGGGGGGGTGTGGGCATTTATCTCCGACCCCTAAGAGAACGGTGGTTTTGGTAAAAACTCCCCAAGTACTCCTTCCTTTCCAGTCTGTCATCAAATTGGGAACGTATTCCTCTAGAGGATAAAAACAAACAGAACACTTTGCCCACTGAATATATGTAAAATGGTGACAAAGAATACCGTAAATTTTTGTAAAGCATAATATTAAAGAAGAAAAGACAAACCTTCGTGGTAGGAGGATTCAAAATATTAACTCTTTTAAGAAGCTACCGTCAAATAAGGACGAGTACACTACACAGACTTTCTCTTCTTCCTCATTCCATGTCTAATCAAATGGTTTAGGTTTTAGCTGATGCCTGGAAGACATCGAAATAGTACTCAATCATCCTAATCATTGTTAGACAAAAGGCAGCTGCAAGAATTCATGGGAGCTTGGTGGCGTGCTATTCCCAATCATGTGTGAACTCTTTCAACCCCCGAATCACTTCAAGGGAGCAAGACACTTTCCTAAAAGTAACACAGCAATGGAAGTCTACAAATTCTGAAAATCTGAGACATGTTATTTGTTAGACCATGGGATTTCAAACCTTTCCAATACAGACACACAGAAACCATTTTACAACCATCTACACACATAGCAATAGAAAGATACGGAACCAAAACAAAAGTTTCCAGAATACTGTACCTAACACCTTATTACTTGTGATGCACTTTTTTTTTTCCTATGTCTACTTTCTTTTTTTTAGATGTTGGACCCATTGAATTGATCCCTCTAAATGGATCCTGACATTCAGGTTTAAAAGCAGTGCCTCAGCGATGGTATTCCCGGCTTCTTTAATTAGAGAAGGCGGTTGTGTAATGCGGTGAAGGCTGTTAACACAGAGGTATTGTGCAGCGTACAAGGTCTCAGCACTTTGTACACTTATGATTTATTCTCTTCACGTTTCTGTGAGGCCAGGATTATGATGTGATGAAACAAGTCAGTCAAAGAGATGCAGAAGTTTCTTCCTTACTGGTACCAGCCCAAGGCGATTCCCAACAACTGCTAACTCTTCCCGTCCCTAAATGACTTCAAGAGCACAAGATTCCACAAGCAAGTTCCCACCGTGGCACTACCCACACCTCTTCCCCCAAAAAACTCCTTCGAGAACTAGCACCGCACTTGATCAACTGCCAATGAGGCAGGGGTATTTTTTCCACGTCGAATTTCTTCATTGCCAATTTATACCAGAAGAAACACTGAATAGCACCAAGAGAGAAAAACCATCTGGCAGACATTTCCAGGCCCACAGCGGACGGTGCTTCCCTCCTCGGAGCTAACACAAATAGCAACAATCCTCTCTCCAGCACCTCCCAGGGCACACCGTCTGTACTCGTTTTATTCACGAGCAATGGCATCTGGGCGGCTGCGGCGGCCCCAGGGCTGCCTCCCACACCCCCACCCGTAAGAGGAGGTCTCTCGGCAGCACATGCCCACGGCTACTGAAGCTCCCCACCACTCGACAATGATTTTCCGAGCACCTACTGTACACGTGGTGCTATTTTATAAGGATCAGAGATCACTTGTTTGCTTCACTTAGAACTTTCTCTCCCCTGCCAAACTCAAAGATTACGTGACCACCTGATCACAGAGGGACTAAATTGAGAGAAGGCTAGAGGGGCCATGACAAACATGCAGAAGAAAGAGCGAAGCACTCAGGAGCACTAATTTACTTGTAGAGAATACTTAGTAATATTTATGTAACTTAAAGTTTTCAATGGCTTTCATATTATTTTATTCATACTTTATAATCTCACATGGTCCTCAGGTTAAGAATGAACAGTTTCGGGGCTCCTGGGCGGCTCAGTCCGTGAAATGCCCGACTCTTGATTTCGGCTCAGGTCACGATCTCACAGGTCCATGAGACCAAACCCCGCACAGGGCTCTGCGCTGACAGCGTGTAGCCTGCTTGGGATTCTCTCTCTCCCTGCCCCTCCCCAACTCACGCGTGTGTGTGTGTGAGTGCATGCTTTCTCACTCTCTCAAAAGTAAACATTCAAAAAAATAATAAATGTAAAATAAAATAGCAATAAAAACTTTAAAAACAATAGAATAAACAGTTTCACTTCCTAGGTGGTGCAAAGTGAAATCAGAAAGGTTAAGTTTGCTCTACAGCAAAGTATTCAGTAGCAGAGTCAGAACTAAAGCACAGGACTTCACGAGCAGAGTTGAATTCCAAGATGTCTGGAACCATCTCTCAGGGCTTCACAATATTACACACATCTAAACGTTTGCTGGAGGAGTCGGACCTAAAAGAGAACTCAAGAAAACCAAATGCTGTGAGGCCCAGCAGAGGAAGCAACAAGTTATTCCAACATAGGTTCCCCTTCCTGCCCCTCCCACCTCAAAGAAAAGCAGGTTAAAGATCAAAGAAAAACATTCCCACTGTCAGGCTGACGGACTCTACTAATAATTTCCGAACTGCCACAGCGACACAGATTCCTTGCCAAAGAAAATGTGGCAACCGTGTTCAGTTGATTATTACCCAGCACAGAGTCGGCTAAGGTTTTCTGGTCAAAATCAAAGCACCCGGGAGCTAGTTTCCCCAGCTTCCTTTGGGTCCAGTAACACCCTGCGCCACTCGAAATGCTCGCTTGTGCAAATGAGGGCTGCTGGCCACACGCAGACCTGAGTCCAAGCGTGAGTCCGTCTCTCACGGGAGGAGAAAGGAGAAACTCACAACAGTGACGCCTCACGGTATCACCGTGGAGTCACTGTGAAATCGGGATTCTGGGAAAGCCACTTTTCTGCTAAAGGTTCATCTTCCTATCACAGCACAATGACTTCTTTGCATTTCTACTATGCCAGATATCCAGTATGCCTCCATTCGGGCTATTTCTCAAGAGTCAGTCAGGGCCAAACTGCACTGGCCAACTGCACTGTGAGTTCATCTGTCCCAGCAGCAAAGCATTCAACCCTGGTGGGGGAGAATAGCCAAGTAACTGTTTTCACACGTGACCTCTCTTATGGTACCAAGTGCGGATTAGAATACAAACAACACAATTTTTGTATGTCCTACACTACTTTTAATGCGGTAAGAACCCAACAATTGCTCAACTGAAATGAAGTAATTACAGTACCGCATCTACTCAGCACTGCTCTGTAAGACCCCAGGGAGGATTCCGCCTCCCCTCTCCCGCATCTCTCCCTCTGACTTGAACCTGCGGAGCAGAATCGCTGGTATTTGTAACCAGACTGCACACACCAGCACCGTTCTGATGAGCTCACAAGATACATCATCTCACAGCCACCAGGGCCGACAGGTTAAAGACCAGTACATGACCACTCTCCATCCCTCACAGAGGAAGACGCTGAAACCCAAAGGTCACACAGCCTCCCCACCCCTTCTTTTGTAGAAGACTCGCTCAATAATTGACTTAACATATCACGAAGACTCAGTCACCAAACTCGGCGGCTATCCATCTTTTAGATGAGGGTAAAAAGACGTCCCCAAGCATCCCTGGAAGTGTGAGGGCCCAGCCACGTCAATCCATAAGATCACTTCACTGCTCCTGGCTAATAACTATTCTTAAGCCAAACACTAATGAAAATCAAACCTTGCCACCCTGCAATGCTGCAGAGAAAAAGGGACTTGTTTTTCCTCTTCCGTCCACTTTCTTTACGTCTAGTACAACTACACACTTCACCACTCAATAGTTCTTCCAGAAGAGCCAGAAATCCAAGCTTTAAAGCAGGAATGGGCTGCTAAGGAAAAGAAAAACCTGTTTTACTCAGTTCACCCACTGTCTTAATGTCTTGCGATCAGATGGTACTCTAAAGCCCGGGACTAAGGTTAAGGAGTGAAGTTCAAGGACAGGAGGCCCCGAAGAGTTAGTGTAGTCATTCTTACTTCCCTTCTGCCCTAAAAACACAGAAAACAAAGCTAATTAAATGGTTCTCTTTCATACCACATTCTGCAGAATTTCAAAGTGCAAACAGGTAAGAAAACACTATTGTTTTTAGAGCCTTCAAAGGCATTAATGTTTATCAGCAAAACCAGATCACAAGCCTGAAGGAAAAACTCCCTTGGGTCATTAAAGAAGTAAGAACCGAGCAATGAAACCAAATACAGAAATGTTTGAAGGGACTGAATCATCATTTCTTAGGAGGTAAAGAGCAAACCATATACTTCCTCCAAAACTCCACTATGTGAAACAAGAGATCCGGTATCTGAGAAGTTCACCTCAACAAGCTTAACAGTCCACGTTTTCCCTTCCAGCCATGCCTCAAGAGTCAGAGGTACACGCTTGGTACTATTCCACAAACATTTACCAAGTCTAACTGCCCTACGCTTAGCCCTAGATTATTCAGGCAAAGCACCTTACCATCACGGAGACACAATCTTGGCCTCAGAAAGGAGACTGACATGCCATGTTCTCAAGTCATTAGAAGCGTACTCATGGATGGGGCGCCTGGGTGGCTCAGTCGGTTGAGCATCCGACTTCAGCTCAGGTCATGATCTCACAGTCTGTGAATTCAAGCCCCGCATCGGGCTCTGTGCTGACAGCTCAGAGCCTGGAGCCTGCTTCAGACTCTGTGTCTCCCTCCCTCTCTGCCCCTCCCCTGCTCATGCTCTGTCTCTCTCTGTCTCAAAAATAAATAAAAACATTAAAAAAAAAATTTTTTTTTTAAAGTGTACTCATGGAAAATCAAAGCTTCTGAGCTCGTAAAAGCTGACAGCCCTAAACCTGCCAAACGGGTGGATCAGTTTTTGATTTATCTACTCATGGCCAGGACAAGGCATCAAGTGAAGACTGGTGTGGTTTCTGTCAACTAAGGATTCTGAGCCCCTGTCTTCTGTAATGCATCAAGAAAGGCACCATGGGGAGCTTAAACTAGGAGCGAATGCTAAATGCAGAAAACCAAGTTCAATAAGCAGAGGAACAGGCTGAGGGATGTTGAGGTAAGAGCAATTATGGGTTTCCTTGCTAAATAGATGGTCACCCAAAGGCAAGGCGGTAAGATGTGGGCAGAAGGTACTACTCAAACTTGACGGCCTTAACTCCCAGTCTCTCATGGTAAGTAGCCCAGTGTGCACATACACAGAAGTCATCTTCAAATTACAAAAGTTCACTATCCTCTGAGCACTACAAATGGTAACTCCTTAGACTGCAAGCAAGGACCAGCAGAAATAATCCCGTATTCTACACACATAAAGGGGAAGTCTTGACTTCCCTGAGTATACCACAGTTGGGGAAGAAGTCAGAGGGCTTCTCCCTTCCCAGACTTAGTTTACTAAAAGGATTATCTACCTTTGTCCCTGAGTGAAGATACCTAGACTTTCCAGATTATATTTACAGAAATCTCCACTGTCAATAGTCCTGCTGCTGTCAGAGATAAGAAACACTGAGTGTATGCCCAGAAGTGGAACCTAAGTCAGTTGCAAAGTCTACCTCTCTGGAGATTTCGAACATGTAATCTTATTCAAAAGCACAAACCAGAGACCAATCCCTGGGTCTCTGACCGGCCCTCAATTGATGTAAAACACCCTTTGGCAAGTCGGCCTTTAAAATCCAGTCACAAAGGAGCTATTTTTTTAAACTGAGGTAAGACACTAAATTTAAGTTAACATTTGAAAGAGTTTTAAACTTTTTTGATCATCAAAAATGCAGAAGACAATGTGTGATTTCGATGGAAAATTATACATTGTCTAGGACGTCCCTCTACGCTACCAGAGTCTGATTCTAAGGAAGCTATTTTACAACTCTGGAAGTTGGAAATGATTACAGCAATGCAAACCACTCTTCATCTATAAACACGTAAAACCTGCCACGTGGTAAAGGTTCAAGTGACTTCCCTCTCCACTATGGAAGAAAATAGTTTGGGTGGCATTTGTGTACTCATTTTAATGTTCTTAATCTATAAATGTGTCTGTTCTTCAGGCACATGAAAAGATGCTCAACGTCGCTCCTCATCAGGGAAATACAAATCAAAACCACACTCAGGTATCACCTCACGCCAATCAGAGTGGCCAAAATGAACAAATCAGGAGACTATAGATCCTTGGAAGGATGTGGAGAAAATGGGAACCCTCTTTGTTGGTGGGAATGCACAACTGGGTGCAGCAGCTCTGGAAACAGTGTGGAGGTTTTCAGAAAATTAAAAATAGACCTACCCTATGACCACGTCTAGCCACTGTTAGAAATTTACCCAAGGGATACAGGAGATACTTGATGCATAGGGGCACTTGTACCCATGTATCATACGCAGCACTCTCAACAATCCAATAAAATATGAGAGAGCCTAAATGTCCATCAACTGATGATGATAAAAATGTGGGTTTATATACACAATAGGGAGTACTAGCTTAGCAATGAAAAAAATGAAATTGGCCCTTTGTAGCTGGATGGTGGAACTGGAAGTGTTGGAACTAAGTGAAATAAGCCATACTGAGAAAGACAGATACCATATGGTTTCACTCTTATGGATCTACAAAGGAAACTTAACAGAAACCCATGGGAGAAAAAAAAAAAAAGGGTTAGAGTGGAAGAGGAGACAAAGCAAGGCGCTCTTAAAAACTGAGAGGTACAACTGAGGGTTGATGGGGTAGGGAGGGGAGGGAGGGTGGGTGATGGGTATTGAGGGAGGGCACCTTTGAACGGATCAGAGCACTGGGTATTTTATTGGAAACCAATTTGACAATAAACTACATATTAGGAAAAAAAAAAATAAAAAATAATAAAATAATAAAAATGTGTCTGTTCTTTGGACCTTTCTTTCAAACCGGTTAGAACATCTGCCTGGTTTCCTCTTTATAAGCAAAGTAAAATTTTAATGTGTGTTCATTTTATATTTGTTTTTCAGTGTCGCATGTTTTACCTTTTGTGAATTTTTTTTTTTTTTTTTTAGTAGCTCACTGCTTAGCATAGGGTCCAACGTGGGGCTTGAACTCATGATCCTGAGATGAAGACCTGAGCTGAGGGGCGCCTGGGTGGCTCAGTCGGTTAAGCACCTGACTTCAGGTCAGGTCATGATCTCTAGCCGTGATTCGGGTGGCCCCTACATGGTGGCTGTGCTGACAGCTCGGAGCCTGGAGCCTGCTTCACATTCTGAGTCTCCCTCGCTGTCTGCCCCTCCCCAGCTCACACACACTTTCTCTCTCTCTCTCAAAATTAAATAAAACATTAAAAAAAAAAATTTTAACAACAACAAAAAAAGGACCTAGGCTGAGATCAAGAGTCAAAGGCTTAGCCAGCTGAATCACCCAGGCACCCTTTGAAAATTATCTTTTAACAAAAGCTAAAGGGGCGCCTGGGTGGCGCAGTCGGTTAAGCGTCCGACTTCAGCCAGGTCACGATCTCGCGGTCCGTGAGTTCGAGCCCCGCGTCAGGCTCTGGGCTGATGGCTCGGAGCCTGGAGCCTGTTTCCGATTCTGTGTCTCCCTCTCTCTCTGCCCCTCCCCCGTTCATGCTCTGTCTCTCTCTGTCCCAAAAATAAATAAATGTTGAAAAAAAAAAAAATTTATAAAAAAAAAAAAACAAACAAAAGCTAAAAACTCTCAGTCCCCAAACTTCCCCACAAAAGAAATGCTTGGGAAAATGAAACCTGAAGATAATTACAAAGGGCTCAGGACATCCTAAAAGCCATCACTGGGGTCCATCTTCCCCAGGTTAATGACCCCCTCTCTAAAACGAATCATAGAAGTATTCTATTATATGTAAAGTAAACCCAAGACTCCTGTGTTCCCTGTAGGAGAACTAGCATCCATTACTTCAAATTCTCCAGGAAAAGCCTCAGCACTATAATAAAAAGGAACGACATTCTGATCCATGTTACAACAGGATGACCCCTCAAAACACCATGCTAAGGAAAACAGCTGATCACGAAAGACCAGACATTGTAGAATTCTGTGTGTATGCAGCACTCGGAATAAGGATATGTGCAGACAACAAGCAGGGTGGCGGCTTCCAGGCCCGGGGACTGCAGCCACATAAGGGAGTAAGTGCTACAACTGGGGGGTTTCTTCTGAAAATGTTCTGAGATTGTGGGGATGGCTGCACAACTATGAGAACACGATAAAAAATTGATGAACTGTACACTTTTAAAAAAAAGGGGGGGGGCATTATGACCCAGCAATTTCATCTCTGTCTACCAAACGTAGCTAAGACCAACCACCTAAGATTCACAGGCTTTCTTTAAAAACAGAAACAAAAAAGAACCACAAAAAACCCCCCAAAAACCCAAAAGCCTTTCTGAAAACAAGTTCCCATATGGGCCAAAAAAACAGCAGAAACTCTGCAATTCCAGAAACACAGAATAAAGCTTTGGACTCCAAATGAAATCAACCCTAGGTATCTAAAACTAACTTAGAAATTGTATACAAACTAGACAAAGTGGATCACTATTGTCTTACGGTATGTATTTTTAAGAGTTTATAAACAGAATTATTAACTGCTGCATTTTTAGATGAGGTTTTTAAAAAACACTTTCTCCTTTGGCAGCTCATAAACACACACTCCAGCCACCACCCAGGGTATGTGAAAGGGACAGCCACCTCTGAGCGCCGTGCTGAACTGACACTCGTCCCGACTTCTGTGGGATCACCGAGTGGCCTGTTACTAGTGTTCTATAGGCAGCCGTGGTGCCCTGGAAAGTCTGGAATGGTAATCAAAAGCTTCTGCTCTAATTTTAGCTCTGTGTGGCCTCTGGCACATTACTAAGTCTCGATGCAGCAGGATTTTGCTCATCTGCAAAAACAGATGCCATTGCTATAATTCAACAAAAAGTTCACCGGACAAAAAGATACCCCCATCTATCTACTCTCAGGGCTGCTGTGAGTATTCAGTGCAGTAAGGTAATAAGAAAGCAACCGCAGATAATAAACACTAAGTATTTGAGGAATCGGAATCTCTGTGAGGAAACATTCCCCTTTCCTTTTCAGTAAGCAGCAAGGACAAGTAACCTTTGCAAGGTCTCAAGCAAAGTCCCACAGATAGAGCTGGGAGAGGCTGTAAGTGGTTTGATTCCCAGGCCTACATCGTGTCTTCTTTTTTTATTTTATTTTTTTAAGGTTTATTCATTTTTCAGAGACAGAGTGTGAGTGGGGAAGGGGCAGAGACAGAGGGAGACACAGAATCTGAAACAGGCTCCAGGCTCTGAGCTGTCAGCACAGAGCCGGACGCAGGGCCCCGAACTCACGGACGGTGAGACCATGACCCAAGCAGAAGTAGGACGCTTAACCGATTGAGCCACCCGGGCAGCCCTACACTGTGTTTTCTTACAGAGGATGGTAGTAAGACGCCGGCGACTAGTGAGCTGCTCCTCCATTTAATAAGACACATGTTACATCAACTCTCGGCCTTCCACTATTTAATTCGATCAGAAGATTACAAGTGTCCTCTTACTTACAAAACAAGACTAAACTGGTTACCCACTTATGTTTACAGATCATAAGGCTGATTTCAGGCATCTGGACAGATTGCTGTTGACTGCTATAGTTACGAGTCTTGGGAAAGCATCTGAAATCACAAGCTTATCAAAAAGGGCTGGGCAATATAACCTTAGGCCTTCGTCTGCCCTGGCTGCAATGCAGCTAGCCAAGGAGCAGGTCTCCCATGGCATTCTTGTTTTTGTCCTCTGGTCCTTCCTGTTAGAGTTTGCAAACAGAATCTTCTATTTGCCTCACCTGTCCCAGCACCAGTAAGACTGGAACTCAAGACAGAACTGACGTATCCCTTTTTAGATCCATCAGCCAAAATGCATTTCAAAGGAGTGCATTTAAATGCCTTCAGAAAAAGCCTCCAGAAAAAAAGGTCTCCCCAATATGGAGCACAAAGTATAAACCTACTATAACAGCTCCTTAGACTCCAAAGAGTTCCAGAGCACTATGATTTTACCTTCAAATTATCTGCTACAAATGGGGTTTTGCAAATCTAAACGTCTGCCCTTAAAAGAAAACTCTGCTCTCTTTACGTCAAATGTTTATTAATAGTGATGGACGAGGTAAATAAGAATGCAGTAGGCTTTTACTTTCCAGGGAAATGACAGAAACGGAAGGGTGTTTCACACTTTAGAAGTGCCTAACCTGCTTCAGGAAAGAGTTTTCCATGCTGTCTCCCACATGTAGTGTGCAGGTAACAGAAATTTAAGATTTGTTGCTGGAAAGCGAAATGCAAAAGTTACATGTTAAGAAAACCTTGTGGGA